CTTTTGCAGAGATGGGGAACCCAAAGCTGGGGTTTGAAGGGAAAATATTACTGGGAGACCTCAGGATTTCAGAAACGAGCTGCAGGAGACTGGTGTAGAGAAGGGAGCCTAATCTGCTGAGGGGGCAAGGCTGGCAATAGCTCGTGTGTCAGGAGAGGGGAAGGCAGGGAGCCAGGGTCTGGGGATGAGAACTGGTGCAGCAGGTCTGCCGGCCCACCAGGCAGCAGATACCTTCACTCTGAACTCACTTTGCACAGGCACATTTAATCTCTGAGAGGAAAGAAAGTCAGTGGCAGTTAATTTGACAACACAAGGTTTGTCTCCCTGCTGTGTTTCTTTGTTTTCTGTATGTATCACTCCTGTTGCAGGAATTTCTGGAGGAGTGTTTTATCCTCCCATCATCTCCTCTCTGTCTCTATCCACGCCAATAATGGAGCTTCTCTCCATCACTTTTCATGTTTACTTTATGCCTTTTTGTTATTTTTTAACCAAGGATCTTGCTGGGAGTCTTCAAACTGATTTCTGTATGGTGGGCTTTGTCTTTGTGCAGTAAATCCTTACTAAACAAATAGTTATTTCTGTCTCTGGTATCTGTATCTTCAGGTGGATAAGTGTCCACTAATAATAGCTATAAGCATTTTCAGTTCCTGCATACAACTTTAGAAGTTTGGCTGAAATAGTTTGAATAGGTCATAAATGTATAAACTCCTCAAAGGTAAACAAGTTCTGGAATTTGTGGAGAATTTTCAGTTTGACTGTAGCTGTTGGGATATGCTGAGATACTGATCTATTTCAGACAAGCCAGAGGTAAAGAAGCTATAAAAATTACTGCAGACTTTTAATCATGTAGATAAAATGGAATATTAAAAATAATAAGTGTAGATAAAAGGAATATTGATCCCAGCCTTGGTAAAGGTTGGTAGATTTTGGGAGAAAGTTTGAGCTATTTGGGGACATTTTGCTCCTTTCCCTTAACTCAGGAGCTAATTGAGAGATTTCTGAATCAGACCTATTTTACAAATATATTATGCTGGAAAATTAAATTAATTACAACACATTACAGTGGTGTGTTGCACAGTTGCATCTCATACAGCACAAACAGGGATCCAAATTTTGTCCTGTGCCTTGTAGGTCCATTATTGAAAAAATAGTGTAATGTGCCCAGAGCTGTACCCCTTTTGAATCCCCAAGAAAAGTCCTGGGGAAGAGTGGCCTTCATGTGGATACATAAGCTGTCAAAAATACTACTACAATTAAATACCAGTAATCATAAATTTATTGCATAATTTAAAAAGTACTTGCATGACTAAAAGATAAAAAGAAGGAATTAGCCTCCAAGCAGCAATATATTTAAATGAAATTCCTTTACACAGGAAACTGCTATTTATACATGAAGGCAAATGTCTCCTGTGAAGTTAAAGCCAACAAAAAATAACCAGCATGTTTCACTTTATTTTCAAATGTCAGGTGTCACATTGAGGAAATCTGCATGTGGCCAAATGAGCCACAGTTTGACCCCACTCTCTGGTGTCAGTCAGGAGTGCTGCATGCCACGGGGAGAGAGGTGAATGGCTGGTGATACTGTGCCCAGAAAGGGGATCCTTCCTAGCTACTTGTGCTCTCAGACAGTGTCATCTGAATTATAAGGCCTCTTTCTGATCCTGAAGGAGAGAAGGCATTGCATTGTAGAGGTATGATCTAGTCCCAGGTTGTTTTTTTCTATGGGAATGTTCCAAACGACATCTAATATTTAACCATAATTGGGACATTTAGAAACAAACACATTTTGACCAACTGATGTTTTAGAACAGCGACTTCCCCTGTTTTTTTTTAGCAGTGCATCACTTTTAATGCTATGTAGTTTAAAAATTAACAACAGATTTTTCTGTTTCATTTGGCTTTCTTAACCCATAGGTAAAACTTTTGGTCACAAATCCATCCTGTTAAATCCTGTAAGGATGATGGCCATTTTTCATAGGAGCTCACGTACTCCCAAAGTCCCTCTTAGGCACTGGAACTGGAAGGATCCCTACATCTCCCTTTGGCACATCACCATGCAGCAATCTTTTGTAAAATTTCAGTAAGTTAGCTGGAGTTCCAAATTCAAGTTAAATGCTATCCTACCATGGCAATCAATACAAGGTACAGAAATAGGAGGTGAATTCCAGCAACCCGAACATCAGGCTGAAATAATGTGCCAAAGTGTGGCACAATGTAGGTGAAAACATAATATGTAGTCCTGTACATAACAAGAGTGCTCATTACAACATAACATTTTTAGCATCTGAATAGAAAATAAATTAATAGAGAAAA